CAACAACAACAACGCAACAAGCGGAATCATCACCACGGATTCTCACTTCAGCCACGCACCCAGGGACAATTAATGACCGTTCGGGCTCCCTCACTCTGACGTGACAAGAAAGAGCTGCGCGAAGACGGCGGACTCGTGCCGCCCTCTTGCAAGCTTCAGCTGCGCGCGAGCTGCATCTTCCGGGATGAACAGAGGCGCCGCGGGCAGTGAGGCGCCGCGCTCGCGAATCCCGCATTTGGCGCGGCGAAGGGGCGCATCGCGACATGCGTCTACAGTGAAGACGCAAACCTGACGGGCCAGCTCGATGTGCAATCTTTAATTTTACAAAACCTGGTCGGAGCGAAATAATAGCGACCACGCGAGCAGCCCGTCGGCGGGCGGGGGCAGCTCGCGCCCGCGCAGCGCTGAAACCTTACGCGCGAAGGAGAACCACGCTGCCACGCCGCTCTTGAAAGAGGCGATGGCGCGCGGGCGCGCGCCAAGGAGGGACGCTGCGCGCGCCGAAGACAGCCGCTCAGCGACGCTCGCAAAACCTTCCTGGCTGTCGAGCCGCCGGCGAAGACTGCGGAGCCCCGCGCGCGGGCCCCCGCCGCACTGCGGCGCGCGGGCCCCGTGCGCCTGCGCAGCCCTGACGTCGAGGAGCGCGTCGACGGCCGCGCCCCTGGCGCCCGGCACCCGCGCCGGCGCCGGCCTCCGGGCTCGGGCCGCCTCCAGAGCGCGCGCGCGGTCGCGATGCAGCCGGGGTTCGTCGCGAAGTGCGCGGGCCTGATCGCGCGTCGCGAGCGCGATGGCCCCCCGAATGCATCGCTGTTGGCCGCCGTCGAGATCCGCGCCCTAGAATTGGGAATCCTTGAACAATTGGCTTCGGCGAGCGCGGGTGGGCGCGGCGCGCTTTCGGCGGCGAGCGCCGCCGCGATGGCGTGGAACCGCGCAGCTCCGCGCCGGCCTTGGCCGGCGGCTCTCCAGGAAATTTCGCGCGGCGGCGGCGCGCCCGGCCGCTGCCGAGCCGACGGGCGGCGCGCGCCAATCAGAACCTTTGCCGCCGAGTCTTGGCCGAGCGCGCGCGGGGTGACTTCGCGACGCGCGACACACGCTGACGCGAGACGGAAACTATCAATTTCGCAATGATGCGCGCACGCCCGGGCCCTGCCCAGCCCGGACGCAAGGCGACTTAGCGCGCGAGACGAGCTGCTGGCCGGCGCCTGCTCGCGCTGCGAAGCGGCGCCCGCGCCGCCGACGAGGGCGCCCAGGCCGCGGGCTCCCAGAATGCTTCGCTGAGACGCGGCTGGACGAGAGAGGCGCCGATATCGCGAAAGAGCCAGCAGTGCTCCCGCGACGGCAAATCAGCGGCGCTCAGTTTAGAAGAGACGCGGTCGACGCGAAGAGAGACGCGCAATGGCGCCGCCTGCAGCCGCGCCGACTGGATGAGACGCGCATAGCACCACTCCTTGGAGGCGCGTTCCCGCGCGGCGGCCGACGTCATCAGACCAGGGGCGCGCGCGCCTGCCCGCGGGCGCGCCGCTGAACGCAGAAAGGCCAGACGCAATCGCTAGGCGCTCAAGGGGAATACTTTGCGCAATGGCGCAGGACGCACTCGGGGGGGCCCAATCTGAATGGGGTGCCTGCCCGTCGAGGAACGGCGCGGCCGCTGCGCTGGGCGGCTCGCTGCGCGCGTCGATAAAGAGCAGCGCTGCCTCGCGCCGGTCTGGTGCCCAGGCGCGGGCCTCGCAGATTTCCAGCGCGACGACGTCGGCGAGTTCCTGCGCGAGGATTTCGGCCCGCCACTCGAGCGCGGCGCGCAGCTGTTGCGGAGCCACTGCGCCGAGCTGCTTCGAGCGGGCGAACAGGGGCCGGATGTCCGCGCGCCCTGCGCAGTGGATCGCGCCCGAGCATGTCCGCGCCAGGGCGACCGCCAGCGTCGCCGCGCACCCTGGCCGCGGCGCGCCCGAGGAGAGCGCGCCGCCAATGCGACCGCGCCACTTCTTGAGCTTGTCGGGCGAGGGGGCGCGCGAGAAGCCGCCGCGGTTTGCGCGGGCCTGAAGGTCCGGGACAAACGGCGGCATGCCCGAGGCGACCTAATCCGCAGCGATCGCAGAAGGCCCGAGGACGCAGCTCACGAGCCGCGCGATGCACCCGAGCGCGTCCTCGGCGCAGTCCGCGCGCTCGGCGCCAAGGAGGACAGCGACTGGGCGCAGCATCGGAATGAACGCGTGGCGGCGCACGAGATGCGAGATGAGCGCACCGACCCTCTTCCGCGCGCGCACGGGCGCCACGGCGCCGAAGGGCGCAGCCAGGTGCGCCGCCGCATGGGCCGCGCCCTGCGCGAGGAACACTAAGAAGAGAAAACGACGATGCATCGGCAGGGCGGGCAGCCTACGAAAGGTGGAGTCGACGTCGGCCTCGGAGAACGCGACGCGCTCGCGCGCGCCCTGCGCCGCGCCCCCGGCCGCGCGACGCAGCGCGTCGATGGGCCACCCGGGGCGAAACTTGTCGCCTGCCGAGGCGCGCCCGTTCACCTCTTAGCGAGCGGGGTCGCCTACTGTCCGAACGCGCCCTTCGCCACGGGGCCGCCGCGCCTGCGCGGCCCCGCAACGCGGCGACCAGACGCTCGCGCTGAGAACGGCCTGCCCGGGCGCGACAGGCGACAGGCTGGGCCGCGCGGCCCGCGCGCGCGTCTTTGAGAGACTGTTGTAGCAACGTCGCATGGGCGCTTTCTGTAGGGGGCGCCAGCAATGCGCGGTCGGCTCGAGCTGCGTCGGGGCGCTGCACGGGCACGCCGCTGCCCGACGCCGGAGGCGGGCCCACTGCTGGCGCGCCGCGGCGAAGGCGTTCGACATGCGCGGCGCCCTGGAAATCAGCGCCAGCGGCGAGCGATTCCATCGGCGGGCCGTCGGCGCCAGTCGCCATCTTGCGCGCGCCTGCATCGGCCCGTTGCCGGGCCGCGGCGCCCGACTCACGCAGCGCCCGCGCCTCGGCTTCAACGCCGCAATGAAACGCTCGCGTTCGTCATTCATCCGGGCAGAGTGGCCCGTTTACCGAGTCCACTGCGACCCAGACGTCTGCGCTCGCGGCACGCGTCGTCGACGAACTGTAGCTCCCCCGCGTCGTCTGCGCTGGCCTAGCGAAGCGCGCGAGCGGCCCAGTCAACCGCTGCCTGCGAGCCAAAGCGCGCGACATGCAGCAACGCGGAACGCGCGAGACGCGCGGGCCTGATCGGAGGCCGCGCAGCGGGAGCGCGAGCGCCGACGCGCTGGGGGGCCAGCGGGCGCGGCAAGGATCCTTTTCCTGCGCGCGGCTGACGTTGCGGCACTGGCACGCGGCGCGAAGGCGGCGCTGGCGGAGGCGGCGGCAGCCGCCCATGCATTGCGGACAGACGCGACAACCAAATCGCGGGGGCGCAGCGAAAGCGAGCGCCGCGGTCCTGAACGCGTGCGCGCGGAACAGGGCGAGTCGGCAGTGGCGTCACCTGGGCCATGCCCAGTCCCGATGTAAGGTAGCCTGGCGCGCGAGCCGATCTGTCGGCCAACAGGAGGCGCGTCGACCGCGCGCGCGCCACTTTGCTAGCGAAGCAGTCTGCGAATTTTCGCCGTCGCCCGAGCAATGCCCAGCCTCGATGCAAGATAGCTTGGCGCGCGGGCCGATCTGTCGGCCGACAAGAAGCGCGTCGACCGCGCGCGCTTTCGCCGGCGAATCAACCCGCGATGTTTTTGCACGACGTCGCGCTTCAAAGGCTTTGCAACGCGCGCGGGGGGTCGCGCTGCGGCTGCGCGTTCGCCTCCCCCGCCTGCGCTGACGTCTGCGGACGCCCGGGGCCGCCCTGGCGGGGCGTCGACGCTCCGCCCACACCTGCCGAAAACCGCGAAGGAGCGACCGCGTACGCGCGGAAGTAAGCAACGACGCGCATTGCTACGGCTTGCGCCTCACTGGGCGGGGAGACGTCGCCGGCTTGCGCGAATCCTCCCACTTGCGCTTGGGGCGCGTCCAAAGACTTCGCGCCCCAGGACTCGCGCTTGGCATCCCCGCCCCAGGTCTGCGAGGCCGCGCCCTTTCTGCCCTTGGAGGCGCTGCTCCAGCCCTGCAGGACCGCGCCCTTGCCGCCCTTGGAGGCGCTCCAGCCCTGCGGGGCCGCGCCCTTGTCGCCCTTGGAGGCGGCCTTGGAGCCGCCCTTGGAGCTAGTAGCCTCGCACGACGAAAGGACGCGCGCCGTCCGCGAAGGCGGGACGCGAACACCGATGCCTGCATGATGCAAGCGCCAATGCCTGCAACCCGCGCGACCCCGAGGCGAACCGCGATCCGCCCCGACGGGATCCCAGCAGCGCGCCTACACGGAACGCGCAACGCAATGCAAGCACAAGAGCAACCGTCGCCCTGTGCGCGCGCGAGCCCTTCTCGCCGGGCCGCGCGCAGCAACGCACATGCCGTCGCCCCCCTCGCGCGCGAGAGCCCTTCTCGTGGGGCTTCGCGCGGCGAGACGCAGGAGAGCGGGAGGCGGCCCGCGCGCACAGCTCGCCCCCCTTGCCCGCGGGCCAGGCGCGGGCGCGAAATTTGTGCCCGCGCACAACGCAGATTAAGTGTGCGCGCGTGCTTTCGATGGCGTTGTGCGCCCACAAAAAAACGACTCTCTCGGCAGAGGAGTAACAACAATTACGCGACTCTTTACTGACACCCGGGGATCGAACCCATTTTCAGGGAGAGCGAACCCTTTCCCTGGAGAACGAACCTCTCGCCCTCCTCCTCCTCCTCCTCCTCCTCCTCCTCCTCCTCCTCCTCCTCCTCTTCCCGCTCTCTTTGGCATGTTTAGTGCGCCCTGAAAAAAACCCAACGGAAGCCCCAGGGACCCTTGGATCCCCCTCTGTCATCCCTTCTGTCCCTCATCTTCCTCCTTCCCTCGTCCTCGTCATCTCTCCTCCTCCTCCTCCTCCTCCTCCTCCTCCTCCTCCTCAGCCTCGTCCCTCCTCCTCTGCGCCCTCCTCCTCCTGCTCCACCTCCACTGGGCCTGCCTGGCTGTGCCTGGAACGCCCCCCGCCCTCGAGGGCCGCCGAGCCGACCGCGCGCGATGGAGCCGCCGTGCGAGAAGTCCACCGAGTAGCAGGCGGCGGTGAGGCCGGTCACGCAGCCGCAGACCTGAGGTCAGGGGATGGACGCAGATCGGGTCGGGCGAAAGGGGGGGATAGCAAAGGGGGGGTTTGAGAATCAGCTCACGTAGCTGATTTTCCCGGCGCCTCCCGGCGCCGGGAGGCGCCCATGTATCGAGGAATGGGCCCCTCGGTGAGGCCGAAACCAGCTGCATGCAGCAAATTTCGTAACCCCCCCTTTCCCAATCCCCCCCTTTCGCCCGGCCCGAGCAGAAGGACACTCCAGTACAGACAACCCGTATCTGGCCATCGCTCGGACGTCCACTCCCTGTACTCTTGTCGGTCTCGTGCGCGTTTTTTTTTTTTTCTCGCAGGATGATCCAGGATGCTCCTGAGTCCTCTCTCCTCCCTCTCCTCCCTCTCCTCCCTCTCCTCCCTCTCATGCCTCTCCTCCCTCTCCTCCCTCTACTCCCTCTCCTCACGTTCAGGGGATGGACACGGACGGAAGGGCATTCCGGCACTCGAAGGCGGCCAAGGAGGGGCCGGGGGCGCAAGGATGCAAGGGTACCCTTGGGAAGGTTGCCCGTCCACGCTGTACGGGTTGACTGCAAGGCCAGGGGATGGACACGGAGGGAAGGGCACTCCAGCACTCTGCACCCTCCCCGGGGGCGCCCGTCCGAACCGGATGTGCAGGACAAGCATCTTAGTGTGTCGTTACCCGGGCGGTGTGGCAAGAAAGCGCCTGGTGACGAGGACGAGGATGAGGCACGAGCAGACGAAGTCTAGGATCCAACGATGTCCACGTCGCGCCTCGGCGCAGCACGCCGCTGCCGTGGCCCAACACATGACAGGACCTGGAGCCTGAGAGCCTCCCGCAGCAGGCTCAGGCCAAGACGAGCCTGTCTCGGGCCTACACCCTGCGAAATGCTTAAGAAATCATGGGTTAAGAAATTCATAGTCTCAGAACTTGAATAAAAGCCCAACTTGTTTTTATTAAAATCTTAGGATTTACATTGAAACGTTAAGAATAATCGTGACTCTGGCCGAAAACTTGGGTTTTCTTAAGCATCGCCTAAGGTGTACCAGCGAAGGCGGAGGAGGAGAGCGGGCGAGAGCAAAGAGGGCAAAGGTCTTCGGACGACCTCAGCCGTTTGGGGGTCCAGGGGCCTTCGGGGACCTTGGCCGCGGACCACCTCTGGAGGCCTCAAGAACCCTCTTGCTCACAAGACCTTTGGAGATCCCTGGGGAATTCTTCCTCCTCCTCCTCCTCCTCCTTCTCCTCCTCCTCCCTCTCCCCCCCCCACCTTCTTCTCCTCCTGCTCCTGCTCCTCCTGCTGCTGCTGCTCCTCCTCCTCCTCCTCCTCCTCCCCTTCTCTTCCTCCTCCTCCTCCTCAGCCTCGTCCCTCCACCCCTTTTCTTTCTCAAAGACTCTTGCCTGTCGCACCCCAAGGCCTGTCAGTAGGGCGGGCCAGAAGTTTCGCCTGAGACTTTCTGACCATTTACGATCCTGCAGCTTGACATCTGCAACTGTTTCACGGATGAAGGGCGGGTGGGTTTCAAACTGCGGCTCTCACATCAGCCCCACGCACATGATTTTCCAAAGCCTGCCAAAGCTTCGCTGATGGAGGGTGGTTCCTCTTCACCATTCGATTTCCACCTTAGCGCCGCACACACTCGTCGTTAACAAATTCGAATAATTTCAGGATGGAGGGCGGTTCCCATTCTTAATGCGGCTCCTAGCGCCGCGCATATTCGTCTGAAAGTTTGCAGCCGCTTCAATAATGGAGGGCGGTGTCATTTTCAAACTGTGGATCTCGCTATAGCGCCGCGTCCAGTCGTCTTGAAAGCTCGCGGCAGCTTCAACAAGTCGCGCGTTCAAAATCCCAGGGTAAAGCGTCTGGCACGATTTAGGATTGTCAGGACGCAACAGTCACGTTGATTCGCTGTGTTGACGTGCCAGGAACTGTGCTAGCACGACTTAGGGCTATCAGGACACAACAGTCACGTTAATCCGCGGCGTTGAAGTCACAGGAATGTTGTTTTGGCGCGAGTGAAGATTCTCAGACGGTTGTCTTCCTTCCCGTTGGCAGATTCCCGTAATGCAAGTCAGTTCTTGCAGGGACGTACGAGGAGGGAACTTGGAGACAGGGCGTATTGCAACATCGATGATTCATCTTGGGTTTACACTCGTCAGCCGCCTCATTTTCCGTCTCCTCCGCCTCCTCCTCTTCCTTGCTCGTGGCCTCCGGGAGACCCAAATCGGGGATCTCTCAGATCCTGCGGCCCCACAGGGTGTATCGGGCGCAGAGACTTCTTAGAGCGTTCCGGAACAGTCTGAAAGCGTTCCAGAACGCTCAAGGACGATTTAGCCCTGTCTCGGGGATGGACAGAACCCCCTTTAGCAAAACGTGGTTTAGTGAAAACGACCTCGGGCCCAAATCTGGCGGGCGAAAGCCTGGAAACTGACGGCCACGGCGCCCTCTCGAGAACCGAAAACGGACAATTCACTAATCGACGTGTCACTATTGGGGGTTCTGTCCAGCCCCGCCCGGATTGAGGCCCTGTTTGGACGCACCTCGGACAACGGGCCAGCATGGACCCCAGGAGTGATCCAGCGACTGGCTCTGCGCGGACTTTGGCCGGTGAGCGCAATGAGTTGTGCGCGAGCCGACCACTCCGAGGAAGCGAGGGAGCGGAAACGAGCGCGAGAAGGGGGGGAGGCGGAGGGCGAGGGCGAGGAGGGCTGGGAGGGAGCGAGGGAGAGGGGCGCGGGCAGGGGAGCAGGAAAAGGGGAAGATCGGCAATGGGACACAATACAACCAACTAGAACAAGTTCCGATCACTCGAGTAGTTACTAAGTCCATCCACTTTGGTACTAAGTCCAACCAGCCTATATGAGAAGCCTTCGCGAGGCGTCTTACAGGCATCTCAGCGAAGCGTGTTACGGGCGCTCTACCAGCGTCTCTGCGAGGCGTCTCAAAGGCGTCTCTGCGGGGCGTCTTGCAAGCGTCTCTGCGAGGCGTCTTGCAAGCGTCCTGCAGGCACCTCGGCGAAGGGTCTTACAGGCGCCGTCCAGGCGCCTGCGTGAGGCGTCTGACAGCGCCTCCGCGATGCGTTTGCGAGGCGCCTCGCAAGCGCCTCTGCGAGGCGTCTTGCCGGCGCCTCTGCCTCTGCGAGGCGTCCGCGAGGCGTCGCACAGGAGCCTCGGCGAAGCGCCCTACGGGCGCCTCTGCGTGGCGCTCTACAGGCGTGTCACAGGCGTCCTGCTGGCGTTTTACAGGCATCTTACAAGTGTCTCTGCGAGGCGTCTCACAAGCGCCTCTGCGAGGCGTCTGCGAAGCATCTTACAAGCGCCTCGGTGCAGCGTATTACAGGCACCTTACAAGCGCCTTTGCGAGGCGTCTTACTGGCGCGTCTGCGGGGCGTCTTGCAGGCGCTTCTGCGAGGCGTCTTAAAGACGTTTTACAGGCGCCTCTGCGAGGCGTCTTGCAGGCACAAATATGTCGCAACGCTGGGCTCAGAGATGCCGCGTGCGAGACTCCTCTCGCTTCGCGGGGTGCGTCTGGACCACGTGCAGTCCAACCGTTGTGAGGGCTCCCTGGAGCCTCTTGGGGGCCTCTCGGAGGCCTCTCGGGGCCTCTTGGGGCCTTCTTAGAAGCGTGATTCATCGGCCAATGCCGCACTTCCGAAGCGAGGGCTTGTCGGACCATGTTTCCTGTACGGACTCCTCATTCTACAGCCGCCTCCTCATTCCTCAACCTCTTCCTCATTCCTCAACTTCTTTTCTCAGCCTCCTCCTCCTTCTCCTCATTTCTCAGCTTCCCCCTCGTTCCTCAGCCGCGCCCTCCTGATTCCTCAGGCTCCCCCGCATTCCATAGCCTCCTTCTCATTCCTCAGCCCTTTCCTCAGTCCGCAGCCCTTTCCTTCATTCCTCAGCCTCTTCATTCCACATTCCTCCTCATTCCTCGGCCTCCTCCTCGTTCCCTGACCCAAGGATGAGCAAACAAAGGACTCCAAGAGACTCCTGCGAATCGTGCTGACGCCTGACCGTTGACCACGTCCTGGGTTAGGAATTGTGCACTCGTCCGGGCGCTGGCCATATCCCTGTCTGCGAACGGTGCTCACACTTATTGTTCCCACCATTGAAGGTTGTCCTGGTTGCCTGGTGATATTACTTCTTCCTGTCTACGATAAAACGTACAGCAACTATGCCATGCATCTGCACTGCCATCCACACCCACGTTTTGAGTTCCACATCATCGCAAACCGTTTTGGTAGCGGATTCAAACGGGGAAGTCATGTTAGTTTCCGGAATAATACAGGTGCAGACACATCAGCCGCCCATGTGCTTTCGGGATATAGGAACATCGCCTCACAATCAAATTCCGCCGACCCCTTGTGGGTCTCTAGGCCTGTGAATCTCTTCTCCCCCCATAGCCCCCCAGGGACCTCAAACTGGAAAGTCGGCCCCCGCTGGCGGCCTCTAGTGACCCCGGGACGAACGCTTCATTAAAGGGGCCCCAGGACACACAAACAAATACACAAAAAAACGATTACCAATATTTTCGTACCTATACGACCACCCTTCGGGTGATAAGGAGGTTCGGGGGGGGGAGGAACCAACGTCTCACTCGATCGGTCTCACTATCGATCTCACTATCGATCTCAGTATCGGTCTCGCTCGATCGATCTCCCTCGATCGATCTCACAATCGATCTCACTCGATCTATCTCACAATTGATCTGAGTATCGATCTCACAATCGATCTCACAATCGATCTCACAATCGGTATCACATTCGGTCTCACTATCGATCTCACTATCGATATCACAACCGCTCTCACAATCAACATCATCATCATCATCAACAACAACATCAACATCAACATCATCATCAACAGCATCATCATAATCGGGACACCGTCCTCATCATCAACACCAACATAATCATCATCATCACGGTCATCAACATCATCGGGACACCACCATCAGCATCATCACCATCATCACAATCATCATCATCATCAACACCATCATCATCAACAGCAGA